TATGTGAAATAGATCACTTATACCCTCCATTACATTTTGGGATCAAAAATACCCCTGCCGTTATCCTAGGAGACCACAAATACCCTCAAGAGTTAACACCCCAAATTATTAGTGATGTGGCAAGCCACATGGGACTAATCCCTCCACCTAAGCATTGCCAACTAAGATTCACTACAAAAGAATTTGACCTTTAGTGGCGACAATAATCGCCACAAAAGCCCAGAAATCGTCACTAAAAGTTTTTAACATTAAGTTCTAATTTTGTGTTTTTTTCTTCATTGTTTTTAAAAAACCAAAAATGATATCGATTAAGTAGGAGTTTTAAGACACTGTATGTTTTTATTTTTATGTCATATGTAAATGTATAAAATGTACAATGATGCATTATATAGTAGGAGATTTGAATTGAGAAGTAATTTTGATGATTTTTCGTAATAATATTGTATGTTTTTAATTTTGATATTGCAAGTTATTTATTTTAGAAAATTAGGTTGCAATCGAAAATTAATTATCATTATTTTTTTGTTGAAAAAATAGGTTTTACTAGCGAATAGGTGTTGGAGCCTTAGTCGCCACTAAAAATCACTCATAACCTTTAGTGGCAATATTTTGGGAATTTGTGGCGACTTTGTCGCCACTAAAGGTCAAGTTCTTTTGTAGTGAATCTTAGTTGGCAATGCTTAGGTGGAGGGATTAGTCTCATGTGGCTTGCCACGTCACTAAAAATTTGGGGTGTTAACTCTTGAGGGTATTTGTGGTCTCTTGGGATAACGGCGGGAGTATTTTTGATCCCAAAATGTAATGGAGGGTAAAAGTGGTTTATTTTGCATAGTTCAGTGGCAATTTTGACCCTTTTCCGTTTAAAAAATAATCAATTAAATAAATTTTAAGAATAAACGAATTTTAAAGGAGTCACCACCTAATTATATATATATATATATATATATCTAAGAAAATGATATAAATTACATTTAATGATGAAATGAAGATTAAGAAAAGAAGTAAAACAAATTAATAATAATATTGATGATGATAGGAGTTAAATAAATCATTTTTTATATTTTGTAAATTTTCAATATAAATTTTTCAGTCTTTTAAAATTAGAAAATGCTAAAAAAATAAAACTAAAACTAAAAATCGAGGCAACAATTATTTTAAGGAAAAAATAACAAAAAATGTCAGAAACATTGATCAGAATAAATAAGTATCTATTGCTAAGAAGGTGTCACCCCACATTTTCTATTTTAGCTTTATTATTACATATAGATAGGAACTTTAAGATGAAGAATGATCCAAAAATTTTAAAAATAACAAATCAATTATGTAAAAATACATGTGTAATTCTTATAAAGTTATAATAACTAATTTCTTCAAATAAATAATTAAATGAAAGAAAAAAAAGTAATTAAGAAAATAATATAAATAACACTAATTATGAGATTAATAGCATTGATGAGGAAAGGAACTAAATATGATCATCTTTTTAAATTCTTTTTTAAGAAAATATATATAAACTTTAATTAAAGATAAATAAGAAAAAAAACCTTTAATTAAACATACAAAAAATCAAGACAAAATTAAAGAAGAAAGAAATTAGAAGAATAATGACATTGAAATAAATAATATCTAATTTTCTCTCTTTTCAAATCACAAAATAAATTTTTGCTTGTTCTCCTCCTAATTTGATACGAATTCCATAAATAGAATGATTTTTTCTCCGAATAATTTTTCTTACCCTTTCAAACACTAATCAGACTTCTTATAAATTTCTCAACCACAATGAATTTTCTCTCCTTGTAGGAGGAATAAACATTTTTTCAAAAAGTCTTTTATTTTGAAAAGAATTTTTTGTTACATAATCTCTTTCTTTACATCAATGTCTTCACAAGAATAATGAGATATTCTCTCTTTCTCTTTTGTTAAAAAAGTCACATGACCTAGAAATTTGATGGACATCTTAGCGACAAAAGTTGATACCATATATTGATCATTATCGTCAGAAGAAGAAGAGCCAAAGTGAAGAAATTTGTTCTTATTTGTTACAAATGCTCAACTATTTTGTTTTTATTTTATAGGCTAAATAATTATAAACAGTTATAAAAAATGAATAGTTTTTATCTTTTCATCTTCCATTTTCATTTACTTAAATCTATATTAGTGTAATGGATGTTATAAAGGGCATAATTAATCGGGTATGACATAAATACTTTTTTTTTAAATACAAATAAAAAATACAAAACACAGATAAAATGTCAAAAAAAGGAAAAAAAAGATGAATACAAATACTGGTCATAGAGAGATGCCACATCAAATTGTCAATATTCAGCTTTATATATACATATATAGGTTCATGTCCTTAGATGTTATTTTATTACTTTAGCTGGCATCGACATTTTTGTAAATCTGATATCTACTTTGGAACATTTTATAATGTGGCATAGGCTGACAATTGAGATCATAAATTTAAAATAATAAAATTTAATTTATTATAATACTAATATCAATATCATAAAGATATATATATATATATATATATCATTTAAAAAATATATAAAAAGTATTATAAATTATAATAATTAACCGCTTTTTAAAACAAATTCATATAACTAATTTGATTTACACTCCAAAATTCATAGGTGTCACATAATTTACACATTAATTCTTCATTACTTAATATATGTAATTATATCAATGACATATAAATTGAAATTAAAAAATACATATTTTATTTGAAAATCACGTAATAGTACTATAAGGTATAATAATTAACAACTCAACATATTTTAAAATTTTAGTTGACTCTCCGAATTCCATATGTCTCATGTAATTGAGACAGAGAAAAACATATATTGGTTTAAAATTAATAAAAATATTATAAATTATAATAATTAACAACTTAAAATTTATAAAAAAAAACCTTTAAAATTTTTTAGTTGGCTCTCCAAATTCAATCGGTATTACAATAATTAAAACATAGAAATTAACATAAATTGGACTCCTGCTGACATTTATGTTTCCTTTTTCTAAATTTTCTCTTTTATACTTTATATAAATAATTTTTTTTATGTAAAAAGTATAATAAATCATAATAATTAATAGCTTAAAATATTTCAAAACATATAAACAGTTTTTGTTAACTTTCAAAATTTCATCTATGCCGCATAAATTGAGAGAAATATAGATATATAGATATTTTAAGTTGCTAATTATTCTGAGTTATAGTACGTTTTATGTAATTTTCATATATATTACTCGGTCCTGATTTATGTGATACAAATGAAATTTCAAAAGTCAATGAATTTTTTATAAGTTCTTTTTTATATTAACTTGTTAATTATTGTGATTTCTAATATATTTACGTAAAACATACTCTAAATACAAATAATTAGCAACTTAAAATATATAAAAACATACTAAAAAATTGATTCACTTCAAATTTCATATGTACCACATAAATTAAAACAGAAACAGTAACATATATTGGGCCCCGTGCTGGCACGAGGTCCTATATCTAGTATATTATTTTACTATATAAGAAGAGGGAATAGCACACGCCTCTGCGTCGACACGTGTGCTTCCCTGAAATTAACATGGAACTCAAGGGGCATTTTCGACATTTCACCGTCACATGTTTCTCTTTCTGCTGCCTCAACCTTATCGTCTTCTTCCATGTGAAGCACTGCCACACACCTCCATCTCCACCGCTATTCTCTCCTCTTCCTCTCCAATTCCCTCTGCTTTTTAGCGAAGTTACAAGTTCCGTTCTTCACTGAATCTAACAAACACCTTCGTCTTCAAACGTCTGCCCTCACTTCGGCTTTACTTCGGTGGCTACTAGCTCAGGTAAGTTGTTTATGTTCCGCTTTCTATAATCCGGCAAATATTATGGTCATCGCTGGCTTGTGCATAGTTTAATTTCATTTTGCAATATATTTTCAATTTGTTTGTGTCCCACAATTTTTGGGGGTTTATTTCGTGCTTGCAATTAAGCAAAGAGAAGATTTTGGTTGATCTTATTTATATAAAAAAAGGCTTTCTAAAATGGTGCGACCAAAAATCAAATAGATTAATTTCTGTAGCTGGGGTGCTAGCAAAATACATACGTTTCATATCTAATATTAATTGAAACAGATCACTAAGCAGAAAATTATTTTAAAAAAAAATTATGAACCTTGTTTACCTTTTTCATTCTCTGTTTCATTCCAACAATTTTTATCCCATAGAGGTTTAGAACATGCACACAACATAAGCGGACACAAACATAGATCCTGTTGCAAGTACGAAATCTGATGACAACCAATAAAAAAATTTACATTTGAAACATGTAATTCACAAGATGATTCTTGTAGGATGAGTTGTTATCATTTTGTTAAATACCTTAAACCTACTTTGCCTTTTGTTTCATTTAGGGGCAGTTGAATGCCTCTGTGTGTGGCTGACTACAGCCTACTCATCTTTTGTCTGAAATGAACTAACCCTCCATTAAAGGAGAAAGAAAAAATATAATTGTACTAGGAAAAAAAGCCCGACTAGCTGCTCTGTAACTTGAGCTACGTTGAGGCCCATCAAAGGCACATAATCATGGCTGTCTAGAGCAACCTTGAAGTACCAATTGCATCTGAATTGCAAAGCCCTGTTGGAGATATGAGCTGCCAGCCCTGCATAAGAGTGCTATCTGAAATTTTAACTTGGAGATTTGCGATGTATTTAACTGTTCAATAGACATGTTTTGAGGATTCTTCAGGAATCTAAATTTTTATATCCTTTGGTATTGTTGGTTGTGTGCCTACACTATTTAACAAATTTAGTATTTCAAATGCAGATACTTTGCCGCGAAAAGCTTGTGAAGAAATGTCTTGCAACCAACCAAATAAACTATCACGTACAAAAGAACAAACTTTAAGAGAGCCTCCTTCTGTTAACATCCAAGGTTGGAATGAAAAATTACTGCCTCTTTATTTTTACTAATATCAAATTAGAATTATCTAATTACATATTAATCTAATGGAGAATGTTTATTACATTTCATCCAGAAAATGCCTCCAATCAAATTAGAACTTCAACATGTTCTTCTAACAAAGCAAAACAACTCTACCCTCCTTTTTATGCATTTGAAAAAGGTAAGCCTCTAATCTCTGCCTTTTAGGCTTTTAGATGCATTGTACTGTAGATATACGTCTAAATTTTCCCATTTATATCTTAGGCTCAATATCCAACACTTGTAAGGCGCAACAAAATGTCATTCCTGAGGTCATTTATATCTCCGGCTCAATATCCAACGCATGTTCGGAACAACAAAATCTCACTCCTAAAGTTGCTACAAAGAAAGGTTAGTATTCATTTTATGCGAAAATAATTTCTCCTGTTACTTTGTTAGAATATTAGGCTACCCTTAGTTTTAACCGTACTTATAACATACAGGTTGTACGTTGAGCAAAAACACCCATCAAAAAATTAATGATAATCGATCTACTTATGTGTGTTTAAAAGATGTTCCCAACTGTAAATTTTGCAATGCAAAAAGGTTTCAATATGAATCACCTGGCTTTTGTTGTGGTAATGGCTCGATTAAGTTAGTTTCATACCAACTGCCTGATGACTTATCTGATTTATATATGGGAAATACTGAAGAATCTATACACTTTCGAACTTACATTAGAACATATAATAATATGTTTGCATTCACCTCGCTTGGCGTAACCTATGACAAAGCTTTAGCTAAGAGATACCATGGCATATATACATTTCGAGTGCAAGGTCAAATGTATCATTTTATACCTGATTTACTTTCCTCCACTGAAAAACCAAAGAACCTACAACTATACTTTTATGATAATGAAACTGAACTGGCTAACAGAATGGCTTATTCAGCGCATATTAGCGAATCAACAGTAAAGGGTAGCTGGAATATGACTTGAACATGATTCAACTGAAGTTAATTCTGTGCCGCATATTCGTATATACACTCATAGTAATAACACTCGCTTAGTAAATTATTATTATGGTTGTTATGATCCTTTACAGTATCCGTTACTGTTTCCATATGGTCAAAACGGATGGCATTGTGGTATAAAAAAAAATATTCGACGAAATCAACCTTACTGTGAACATGAAGAATTACCAAGTGTAAATAATATATGCTCTATTGATGGAGTTCTTCATATGGAGGCTCAAGTCTTTAATAAAGGAAAACGAAAAAGAGATATGGTTTCTTGTCGTGAATATTACTGTTACAAAATTCAGATAAGAGAAGATGATGAAAATGGAGTATTGCATTGTGGTAGATTATTTCAACAATTTATAGTTGATGTTTTCATAAAAGTTGAAACACAAAGATTGGATTTTGTCTCACTTAATCAAGACTTATTCCGAGTAGATATATTACAAGGAATTATTGACTTTTTGCGAGTTGGTGAAACAGAGGCTTCCAAAATTGGCAAAAAAACATTCCTCCCGGTTACTTTCATAGGTGGACCAAGAGATATGCGGCGTCGATATATGGATGCTATTGCCTTAGTACAACACTTTGGAAAACCTGATCTTTTTGTGACTATGACGTGCAATCCATCTTGGCCAGAAATAAAACAACATATGTTATCGATCGATGAAACTCAAAATAGACCTGATTTAGTCTCACGTGTATTCAGAGCTAAAGTAGAAGAACTAAAAGTAGATATTTTAAAAAGACACATATTTGGAAAAGTTGCTGCTTTTATGTATACTATAGAATTTCAAAAACGGGGTCTTCCACATGCTCATTTTCTTATAATTCTTACTAATGAATATAAATTGTTAACACCTGAATCATATGATAAATTTGTTTGTGCTGAATTACCTGATTCTAATGAACAATATCTTTATTCACGTGTCCTTCAACATATGATGCATGGTCCTTGTGGTGATATAAATCCTACAAATTCATGTATGGGAAAAAAGGGCTTCTGTAAATTTCAATATCCAAAAGAATTTGTTGAACATACATCAAAGGGAAAGAATTCATATCCGCTTTATAAGAGATGTAATACTAGAAAAACTGTATACATAAGAAAACATCATATGGACAATTCGTGGGTTGTCCCATACAACCCATACTTGCTTTGTAAATTTGAATTGTCATTTAAATGTTGAAGTTTGTTCAGATATTAAAGTTGTCAAATATATTTACAAATATATTTGCAAAGGACATGATAAAATTGCATATTCTCTACATGACAATGCAGAAATAGACGAAATAAAAGAATATCGATCTGCAAGATGGGTTTTGCCACCCGAAGCAGCCTGACGTTTATTTGCTTTTCCTATTAGTGAAATGACTCCAGCTGTGTATCATCTTCAATTACATTTAGAAGGACAACAATTTGTTTCTTTTAAAAGCACCGAAAGCGTCAATAGAATCTTAAATAATCCAATGATAAAAAAAACTATGTTAACTGAATTTTTCTATATGAATAGAACAAATGAGCATGCTCTAAATATGAAATTATTATACAAGGAATTTCCGCAACACTTTGTATGGTCTTCAAGAGATAAAATGTGGACACGTCGAAAAAAACGTGATGTAATTGGACGTGTTGTCACATGCCACGTAACTGAAGGGGAAAGATATTACCTCAGGCTATTGTTAATGAATGTAAGGGGACCAAAATCATATAAAGATCTTCTCACTGTTGATGGAGTACCTTGTAGCACATTTCGTGAATCTGCAGAAAAAAGAGGATTGTTATATTGCAACAATAATTTAATTGAATGTATGTTAGAGGCTATCAGTTATCAAATGCCATACAGTTTAAGATGTTTATTTGCTACATTATTAGTATATTGCAATCCTTCTAACCCAAAAGAATTATGGGAAATGTTTGAGGATTCACTTTCAGAGGACCTCAAAAGTTTCTCCAATACTGAACCAAAAAATGTTCGATATAAGGTTTTAAACCATATCAATGATGTCTTACATTCTATGGGGCATGACATAAATGAGTATAACCTCGTCCATCTCAAGGATTCATAGCTTTAGCAACTGCAACTTCAGGAGTAGCAGCTTCTGTTCTTCCTGGAGGACGAACTGCTCACTCGCGTTTTAAAATGCCTATTGACATAGATGATAATTTTTGTTGTAATGTTAGTAAACAAAGTCCACTTGCTTGTTTAATTAAAGATGCAAAATTAATTGTATGGGATGAAGCATCTATGGCAAAAAAAAACATGATTGAAGCTCTTGATGTACTTTTGAGAGATATAATGGATGTGAAGACACTTTTTGGTGGTAAAGTTATTGTATTTGGAGGTGACTTTAGACAGACTCTTCCAGTAGTGCGAAACGGGAAAAAAGAAGATTTTATTCATCAAAGCTTATTATACTCCAACATTTGGAATGATCTTGAGAAATTACATCTATCTGAAAATATGCGTGCAAGAATAGATCCATCTTTTTGTGAATATCTACTTAGAATTGGAAATGGAAAAGAAACAACTCAGTGTCAAAACAAAATTGAGATTCCTAATTCTCTTATTATTCCTTTTACAACTGAAGAAGAATCCTTAGATACCTTATTTAACGTAACATATCCTGATATATGTACATTTTCTTCTGATTCATCTGCAATATCTTCTCGTGTTATTTTAACAACAAAAATGATTTTGTAAATGAAATAAATGATATGCTAATCACAAAATTTCCAGAAAGAGCTAGAACATATGTCGCAACAGATGAAACTGTTGAACCAAATGATCAAAGCCAATTTGAAGACTTTTTACATACTTTACACCCCCCTGGCTTACCTCCTTATAAGTTAACTTTAAAAGAGAATTGCCCAGTTATGTTGTTACGAAATTTGAATCCTTCCGAAGGTTTATGTAACGGCACACGATTAACATGTTGCGACCTTAAAACGCATGTCATAAGTGCTAAAATTGAAAGTGGTGACTTCAAAAATACACATGTATTTATTCCAAGAATTCCATTACTGACATCACAAGATGAGAAAATTCCTGTACAATTTAAAAGGACACAGTTTCCTCTGCGATTGTGTTTTGCTATGACTATAAATAAAGCACAAGGTCAAACGTTAGATTTTGTTGGAATTTACCTACGAGAACCTGTTTTTTCACATGGTCAATTATATGTGGCTTTATCAAGAGCAAAAAGTTCAAAATGTGTCAAAATACTAATTCGTCCCCCTACTGCAGACAGTAATGATCATCATTCAACATATAATATAGTGTATGATGAAATTATTCAGAGAGCCTTCTCATAGGTAAGGTAACAATTGACTTTCATATAGTTAATTTCATAAAACTTTCCATTGTAATTTTTGGTTGCTATCAAAAAATGATGATTCACTGAAGCATGCTAGCCTGCAGTTCTTGAATAGTTACTTGTCGAGAATTTTGTTATGCAAATTCATTTCATATTTCTTGTTATGAAATGCTGTTAATTGACTTGGCCATCTGAATAGCTCAAGTTTAACATGTTCTGGTCTAAGCCTCATTCACTGGCACCACCACCTGATTCACCATCCACAATTGAAGAATCGTAAGCTGGAGAACCTTTGTCAACTTCAACGTGTCTCTAAAACTTGTTTCTCTGATTCATTTTAATTTCAAAGTTATGTTGTCTGTTTGTTCTTGCTTCTTTTCCTTTTTCCTCCTATTTTCCCTTTGCCAAACTACTTCACTTGATGTAGTGGTTTGCCCATCTGATTTCACAGGTTATTTCACCAACAGAACAAATTCCACAAATGACTTCTAACTACTCAAGACAAAAGATGAACCTGAAGCTTTTCTGAAAACTCTTAATCTACACAATGATGTAAGGCAGATCGAAGGGAATACTCTTTCTTATTGCTCTGTATGTTTAGTTCAACACTAAGAGCAATAGTCAATCTCTTCTACAGTGCGGAGGCCGATAGTTCAAGAAACTCGGATCCTCGACAGGCCTTCCAGTAAGTATTATTTTCCATTTCCTGTATTTCCCAGTTGCAAAAGTCTCCTGCAGCTGCACTGTTTCTGTAGGTCTACGTTCCTGCAACACATATTCATAAATCAATAATCCTTCACCATACACTTACACAATCACAACTTTCCCCATCAATCATGTAGTGTTTGTTTCAACTTATATATTCCCTCTGCACATTTACTCACCAACAGGCTTTAAACATGCTTCGGTGTCATCTTTCCTTTATATGTAATTATGTATTCTACTCTGTGCATCTAATAATTAGATTGCAAGGTTAATTGGTACTGATACATGTCGGTGTCGAACTACATTTGTGGTGAGACAGGATTTTATTCGCGAGAGCATCACCTTTGAAAACTCTGCTCCTCAGATACTCTATATTTTGCCCCTTTTTGCTCTTTGCAAACACTGCACGTACATTCATCTTGCTTCTTTTCTTCTTAGTCTTCTGCAACAGAGATGAGGATAGCCAGTGGTAATCAAAATTACTGATCATCGTTGTGTATTTTATAATTGCAGATTTCTTGGTTCACACGTGCATATAGCAAGAAATACCTAAGAAACATCCATATTTTACTTCCTGCCATTATTTGATAATGCCAACTCATTACCAAATTGATACATTTGTATCTTACAGGCAAAACACTTCTACAGGTAAGACATTTTTATCATCCTTTTGTTTAAGTATAGATTTTATCATGTATTAGATATATCTATGACATAGCTTTATCTTTGATGATTGTTTTCGGGCCTCCTGTATATCAATCAACAGCTAAAGCAATTAAAGTTGAAACGACGTCAAGCCAGAGGTACCTTTGTTTTGTCTACTCTACAGTCGTACTGCACTGCCAAGGCAATTGAAGAAAGAGGCTACATTTTCCATTTGAGAAATCTAACCACTCCTCCACACATTGTGAGTCAATAAATTCTCTTTGAATGCATTCACAGGATTCGGTATAGCTTGTACTTTTCCTTCACTTTTCAGTATCTCAGTTGTTTACTTATTTTATATGAGGTCCTGCATAGTAGTATATAGTAATAGCTTTTATAAGTGTTTTACATTGGTTTGAAAATGCCGCTTTTACGCTAACCTCTTCGATAAAACTCAGGTCTCAAAAGAAAAATCGACCAACTACATGTACTGATGCCTTATTTTGAGATCATTATTTGTTATACGCAAATTTTACAAGTTCATTCATTTTGAAACTTGGTGTTTGAAGTTTTATATAACTGAAGTTCAACCACATATAATTGCAGAACTTCCAATTTTCCTTCTGATTTTGATTTAAGGTACAAAACAGGATTTGTGAATCATTTCTCATATAAAGCTATAGTTGGAGCTCTACCTCAACTTCAAAATAGTCCTCTTATTTACCCCTCTAGACTTTCTTTTATAAGTGTTATATGATGTTCTTTTACCTCTTGAGTACTTGTAATAGCATTTTCTTCATCACCATCAATTTTCTTGATAAGGGTGGGGTGTAAATGTTTCCATTTCTCTTGGCAAGTGTACTCTTTAACCAATTTTTTGTTACTTGAAGGAATAATTTTGTTGCATTTCAATATTTGTTGCTACGCTTTTAACATGTGGGGTATCTGGTCTGTTTCTTGGTTGCCCTTTTGAGGTAAATCCTTCTTTGAACTTTGGCTTTTTATAGTATTATTCCTCAAAACCTTCTCTTTTACTCTCTGATTTTTGCATATGCCATCAGATTTGTTCTCTAGGGTGGTGACTAGACTTCTGTTAGTACTTATTTCTGTGTTTTTTTTTTTTGGTTCTGTATCAAAGTTAAAAACTTTGCCTTTGAGCTCCTACTCTCTCAACATCCTCATCAGAGGGGTAAATTGGTGTTGGTTCAAATTGCAAATCCTGCCAGAGGCCGAGGGAAAGATGTGCAGGAAGTCCATGCTGAAACTTATGCTACTGTAAAGAGAATAAACCAGAAATTTGGAAGGACTGGATATGAACCAGTTATCTTGGTTGATAAGCCTCTTCAGTTCTACGAGCGCATTGCTTACTATGCTGTCGCGGAGTGCTGTCTTGTTACTGCAGTAAGGGATGGAATGAATCTAATACCTTATGAATATGTTATATGCCGGCAAGGAACGGAGAAGCTGGATGCTACCTTGGGCTTGAACCCCACAGCACCAAAGAAGAGCATGTTGGTGGTTTCTGAGTTTATTGGTTGCTCTCCATCTCTCAGTGGTGCAATAAGGGTCAATCCATGGAATATTGATGCTGTTTCTGAAGCTATGGATTCTACTTTAATTGTCTCCGAGGCAGAGAAGCAGATGCGGCATGAGAAGCACTATAAATATGTGTGCACTCATGATGTGGCATATTGGGCTCACAGCTTTTTGCAAGATCTTGAAAGAGCATGTAGAGATCATGTGAGAAGGAGGTGTTGGGGTATTGGATTTGGCTTAGGATTCCGTCTGGTTGCTTTGGATCCTAGCTTCGGGAAACTGTCAGTTGAGCATATTGTATCTGCTTACAAAAGGACCAAACATCGGGCAATCCTTTTGGATTATGATGGTACAATGACAGTCAGAAACTCTATCAGCAAGGGTCCAAATGCAGAGGTTATTAGTATCTTAAACAGCTTGTGCAGGGATCCAAAGAATATTGTTTTCATTGTTAGTGGAAAAGACACAGACTTTAACTCAGTGGTTTTCTTCGTGTGAAACACTAAGGCTTGCTATTTATGATCCGACTGTCATACATATTTGTGCGACAGATGCTCGTGTTGGGCCCGGGCAACGCCCGGCCTGCCTTTACTAGTATATATATAGAAGCGGATTGGAAGCAGCTGGCCGTTGTCCTGCCAGCTTGCTGTCCAAGGGCTTTTTGGTCATTCCGGTAGTACGTGTCATAACGTAGCTTCAAGATGAGAAAAGAAAGTGTGCAGTTTCAACTTCTTCTATCTAATTGTTTCTGCCATATCTTTATCACCACCTTCGTTCCTGTCTTCGATTTGAGCTTCTTTGTTATCTCAGGTGAGCTTTGAATTCATTGTCAGTGTTTTGTACTAATTTAATTATTTTATTGTGATGAAGCTTGTAGAAATTAGGTTTTAAGATATGTCTGCGGATAAAAAATCGATGGTACCAACTTCTTCTTAAATTGTTGTGTTGTTTTTTTTTATAATTATTTATCTTTTTCCTCATAATGTGGTGCATGTATGCCTATTTACTTGCAGGAAAATGATTGAACATTTTGTTATTGCCTATTTACTTGCAGGAAAATGACAACATCCAGTTGATTTGAATTCTCTCTTTTCTTTCTCTGTTGCTTCATCTTCCTCCCATTCTCTCTGTGCTTTGTTCCACTTATTTCAGGTAATATCTCCTTCAAATTTCATGTGATTTGCCCTTAATCTATAATTTCCTCCGGCTAGCCTTTGTGCTTGTGTTGAATTCTGGTAATTTATAAGCTTATTCTTGGTACCAAATTAATTGGTGTAGCTTCCATAGTTTTCTCCTACCTTCCTATTTAATAATAGAATTAACATGGATTATGATTGACTCGCTATTGATCTCTCTGTACTAATGCGTTTCTAAATTCTCAAAGAACATGAAATTGGAATGTTCGGACCCCAATCTAGGTCACAGTTCAAACAAATTCTCCAAGCTAGAAAGATGCGCTTTTTCTTTTGCTTGTCATACTGCCAGGCTTCTTTTCAAATTCATTGGGGTCAGGTCAACTATATGAATTTATTCAAGCCTGTCTAGGTGGAATGTCTGTTACCAGATTAATCGCATCTTACATTGTTGGATATAGGTAACAACTTGGAATCTATGAAGTATGTGATGGGGCTAATCAGAATACCAGTCGAATGCAGTAAATATATATAGGACATGATTAATTCGTAACTTCTAGTCACCTTACTTTGTAAAATCCTCGTATGCAGAGAGAGTATTTAGATATTTATTTTTTGTAGTGTAACTTGGAAAATTGCATTGATATATTTAACAGAAACAAAATATGAACATTTGATAATTTTAAAAACATGTGACAGTTTGGCCGAGTGGTCTAAAGCGCCAGATTTAGGCTCTGGTCCGAAAGGATCCCACAGCTGCCATTTTTCTTTATCACTTTATCCCATCAAATTTGAGATTATTTTATCCCATCTTTTAAGTGGGATAAATTAGTTCAGAGATCATATCTTAGAATAATTTAATCCTTATATCCAATTACTCCTAATGATTTTAAAAAGAAAATGGTTTAGCTAAAAAAACATCTCAAAAAATGTTAAAATTTATCACTAATATCTATGCATATAACTTAAATCACAATATTAAACCCCTTCAAATTGTCCAGCTTTAAAAGTCAAAACTTTGGCCACGAGGATAATTTGAACTAATAAAATTACTACTTTTAATAAGTGTTACACGATATGAATTTAGGTTAATTCCACTGGCCTTTGGCAATAAGATTTAGTACCCATTTGATAATTTAAGGAATTGCTTCGTGAAATTTACCCCTCTTATTATTTTCTTATTCTTTTGGGGTTGTTGTTGTTGATGTGATTTGCATCCATGTCTACATTTGTTTAATAATCCTCGAGTTCCCTAAATTTATTTCTTTACTTTAAGTAAATTGCCTTTTATTGAAATTTTAATCACATGTTGACTACAATAGTTGTTAATGGAATTAGTACATAAATAATGCTAATACTATTACTATACTAAATCTTTTTCCTTTGTTTTATAACTTGTTAGCAAATTTCATTTAAATGCTTAAACTATGACTTATTATAATTGAGCATCTGAACACGTGATAAAGTGCTCCTATTAGATACTTTCGATTCAAATTTTGAAACCATTTTTACATGTATTCTCAAGTGTATATTACGTAAATATGTAAATCACTTAAACAATGTTCTCTTCTTTAATTATTTGTTTTAGTCTCAGTAAGTTGTAAACCTCAAATCTATCGTATTTGAGGCTGTGTATATAATTAAATGAATAATATATTTATTGTGGTTAAAATGATTACTTAAAAGACACTTGAGAATACACACGTAAAAAAATCAAAATTTGAATTGAAAGTATCTAATATGAACACTTATTTTGTGTTTAGGTGCTTAATTGAAATATATCGTAATTTGAATATCTAAATAAAATTTATTAACAAATTTAAGAGGGGCGGTATATATTAAGCTTTTTCGTTTTGTTAATGTTATATAAACTTATAATGCTGTATAGTATTCTAATTCTAATTCACCTAATATTCCCTCTTTGCACACCAATAAAGATCCGTGTCTAATCAATTATTTAATTATTGCACTGCAATCACTAAATTGCCACTTTTTGTATAAGAATGGGATTTATTATTTGATCTACTTTCTTCACAAAAGCATTTCTTCTTCTTTTTATTTATCTAATTTTATTTGGAAATAAGTGTAGATTACTCAATATTATTGAATATGCAAAGAGTAAGAAAGATGAACTACTTTAACATCATATATATATATTCTACTATATTATAAAAGGCACTTAACCTGCTCAAGCAAACAGCAGGTCAACATGCTTGAGGGTGTTTTTGTAATTTTAATATTTTTAGCATTTTTCATTGGCTTGATTTGTACATCTATCAAAATTAATTTGCTATTTTTAATTATAAAGACAATTTTATCCTTTGTAGGTCAAGTCTATTTTTGTGATGAATCACTTTGGTGTCCGCATACATGATTGCCAAGTGTTGCTAGCATGGATTTTCTTCTCTAAATCAAATTAAAGTTAATTGAATAAAGATTTAACTTTAGTATTAGTTGAAAATTTTCACTTAATTGTTTTAGTAAATTTAAATAAAAATTGCATTATATCATTTTGATGTCATTTTATTTGTCTTATTTGTTTAAAAAACATTGATCATATACTTAAAATTATATTTAAATTATCATAAAATACAATAATTAATAACTTAATATATCCGTGTGTGTATTTAAATATATTATGTAAAAAGTACTATTTATCACAATAATTGATAATTTATAACATTTACAAAAAATATAAAAAAAATTGGTCAATTCTATCATTGTTACATAAATTGCGACATAGGAGTAACCTATATCATTTTATAATAACGTAAAAAATAAAATAAATTACAATAAATATAATTTAAAGTATTTAATTATATTAAAAATTATTTACCCTTTTAAATTACATACGTGTCACATAAATTGAGATGAAAAGAATAATATGTATTGGGCCCGTGCTAGCACGGGCTCTTAATATCTAGTATATATATAATGAATGAGTAAGTTTATTAGAATATATTTACTCCATCCTCTTATAAGTGAAAATAAATAATTAGTATAACTTACGAAGGCCAAAATATATAGTTTTATTTGTATTTTACCCAAATTATTCTCAAAATTCACATATTTGAAAATCAAGTAAAAAAATGTATTATCAATTGACGTAATTAATAATTTCAGAAAGAATTATAAGAATAATCATAAAATAATGGTTTAACTTTCTAAATATTATACTCCCTTAATTTTGTTTTAACTCAAAGATTATTATCTTAGGAATTTAAGACTCAAATTGACAATTGTCTTCAATTATATTATTAACATTAAAGAAGTGTGCACAATATTTAAAAGAAAAAATATTTCTTTTTATTAAATAGAAACAATTTAATAAACTATATTATTATTTTTCTTAGCATAAAAAAAAGTTAAATTTAACGTTAAAATGGGACGCAACGAATATTGTTGTCAACCACCTCAACTTTCATGAGGGAGAACAAGTTGTTAAATTAATTGAGATGCGTCCACCCTCAAGCACAAATATCAAAATTGAGCCCCCAAAGAATGGAAAAAGAATTCCATTTTTCAGCGGAAATAAATATATATATCAACAAAAAGTGATAAATCTTATTGATATTAGTTAAGTGTCATTGAATTCAATGTAGTTATAGACTTAAGGAATATTTACAAAAAATGTTACTCTCTTCATTTCAAATTAATTGAATTGTTGAGGTGTTTCACACTCTTTAAGAAAAAAAAATTAAGACATAAATTAGGTATAATTTTTCATTTTTATCCTTATTAATTATTGTCAAATTTATGATTAAAATAACTAAACATTAATTAATAACTAATTTCAATACTAAACATTAATTAATAACTATTTTGAAAGAACATTTTAAAAATAGTCTTGAAAATTGAACTATTAAGTTAATTTGAAAAATGAAAAAATGTTTCAATAATTCAATTAATATGAAATAGAGGGAGTAATTGCCATTAAAACATAATTTTAGCGATATTTAACACTCTTTTAAATGTGCCAAATAAATGACACACCTTTTTTTCTATGTATCTATATAATAGAATGAATCTGATAGCAAAGATACATATATCTAATATCTTTTATACATGTTTTTGATTAAAAAAAGTGATATATCTAAATTGAAATTATTAATTAGTAAGATAATGTGTAAGATACTTTACCCCAAAAGATGGAATTGGGAAGGAAAATGACAGTTGAACCCCTCATCTGGTTCCAAAATTTGTAATAGCTTCAGATTACCAAATCAGCAAAATAGAGAAGAGGAGAGGAGGAGAGGGATGAACCAAAACAACTTCTCCCATTCAAATGTAGCTCAAAGCTTCAAAGTCCCTCTAATCCCCTCACTTGCTTTATACCTTGTGTTTGCCCTTTTCTTGTTTGGCGTTGCTGTTTCTCTTTTCATCCTTGTTGTTGTTCATAACCCTCTCTTCTTCCTTTCTTACCTATTCCTTTTTGCTCTTATTGCTGCTTTTCTACTCTGGAATTCTATCTCTTTCCGCAATAACACAACTATTCTCCATTATCTTCGTTCTTTACCTGATGCTGACCTCACCGTCGCCCGCCATGGCCACCTTGTCAAGATTACTGGGGTAACCGTTAAAGCTTCAATCTGGGGTTTTCCTTTTTCTTTTTTGGTATTTTCTGTAATATTTGTGTTTTTTAGTTGAAGGGTGTTGTTCTTTTTTGTGAAACTATGACTAATGGTAAGAATACTGGTCCTAATGTCTATTGGGGAGCTCAGCTGATTGCTAAATTAGGAATTCTTGAGTTAATTTGGGGAAGTCATTCTTCGATTGTTGTGATTTCTCTTGTCTCCATTGATAATGTCAAAGTAATTTCTATTCTGTATAATGCAAGAAAAGATTGATTTTTTTAATCCATAGTATTAGTGTGCATTTCCTTCCTAGTGATGGATAATTTCATATGAAGAGTTGGATACTGAAAATATGTAAAGAGAAAACAAATTTGTGTGCATTTGAAATTATTGACTTCTATTGTTAGAGTGACATTTTGTGATTAACTAGACTTGTATCCTATTGGTAGGTAAAATTGACAACAGGAAGCTTTACTATGTCCATTATTGCATAGATGTACCAAAGAATATGACTATTGTTTATTCAGTCTATATATTTATGAGCTTGTTGTCCCTATCTAATAAAAAACATATTTATGATTTAGCTTGGTGTTCAGAACAATACCTTTCCCTTCCCTTTTTTGACATCAGTGGATGCCTTGTTTCTCTTTGATGATTTCAGCTTGTCTCTTGTGGGAATGTGTCTTTGGAGTCTTCTTATGAGAAGGTTGGACGATGTGTTTATACATCCACCTTGTTGTTTGAATGTGGAAAACTTGGCTTGAAGCCTGCGGATGTAAAAGAAGCATGCTTCGGATGGAGACTTGCTTATTCTGAGGTATGGGACATTACGTTCTGTAACAATTCCGATGAACAAGATCTAAGATATTTATTTCTCGGCTTTAACGCTGCTTCTTGGCATATCATCTTTCCTTTCAATCTAGTGTTTTGACTTTAAAGAAAAGATAGTTTCATCTCTTTACTCCATTATTTTTCCTCACTAGAGAACCATCCCTGTCAATACCTCATTCTTAACTTGTTTATGTCCAGTCCTAGGTCACTGGCCACCAGTTATATGATGATTAACATAGAAAAGATAGTGTGACATTATTAAAATTAGGGTGCTTAATTATATGTACTAATCTCATAGTATAAGACCCGAGTAGCCTGTTTCACTTTGCAAGTTTCTTCACATGGCATCATGAAATATATTAGAATCTATGCCAGGATATACTCAAACCAGAAAAATGGAGCTTAAACCTTGTCAAGAAGGGGTGAAGAGTAGGAGGAAGATTGAAAGAGACCGAATGGTCACATTTTCTT